CACGCCGACGTAGCATCTGGTTCACCGGACCCCCTATACTAGGAGGTGTCAGTCCTAGTCCTGATCCACTGGGTTCCCCAGCCTCCATACTTACAAAACATTATTTGGTCAATTCGTCGGCAATTCAGTTTAAAACATACCATTCAACTTAGATAGATGCACATATTCCTACTGCTTATCACGTATGTCCCAATTATCAAAATCCTCTAAGTTAGGCGCTCTGATACCACTTGTGACGACCCCACTGCACCCAGAGGCGTACCAAAAGACTTAGCGGACCGTCTGCCTAACTCGCGCCAGGACTCGAAAACGCAAAGTAATGAAATTATTTAAACCCAAAAAGTACTATTCATAATATATACATTCCAAAAGAGTTCTATTTACATCCTCAAAAGTAGATATTCAGACTACTACATTATCCTATGGTAATAACCAAAAGCAGAAAGTAAACCCCGAAAAGGGTTCTTATGCAGATCATCAAAACAAGAAGAAACATCTTAATTGTCCAACTATGACAACCTGAAACTATCTATACTAGTGATAGTGCTGTTGACCTTGGTTGATCAGTTCTTGATTTTGATGATTAACAAACCAAAATGTAGATTTGGACTAATATTTTTATGTGAGAAATTTGTTAGAACAGGTCTTTGATCCAAAAGAGAATGGAAAAGATTTGAATCAAAGGAAAGTTAAGAAATATGAAGGTTCGGACGTAGAGGATCGGACGCTCGATAGAGGATCGGTCGTCCGACTGACAACGATACTTTTCGGACGCTTGGATCGGACGCTCATTCATTGCTTCGGCCGTCCGACATAAAAAGAATGAACGTTGAACATTCTGATTTCTATCGGACGCAAGGTTCGGACGTTCGATAGGTGGTTCGGACGCAGAGCAAATGGTTCGGACGTCCGACAGGCCAACGGCTAGTTTCGACAGCATTTAATATTTGACCGTTGGAGAGCCTTTTGGAGCTATTTCTCACCTTCTATAAATACCCTAAAGCACAAGAAGACACGGACTTTTGGCCAACACTAAATACAAGCTTACAAGTGAGATCTTTGAGTAGAAATATTGTTTGTTGGTTGTATAAGGGGTTGGGAAAGTTGGGTTGTGAGGTTGCTCAAGTGAAGGTTACTCTCTAGGAGGAGTAAAACCTTGGTGAAGGTGAACCTATCACTTGGAGTGGTAAAACCTTGATAAAGGTTGTCTCACTTGTATAAAATAGTTCTTAATTGAAAGGGTAAGCTTTCAATTGTAGCTAGTTGAGAGTTTACTTGGAGAGTAGTAAAATTCCTTTGCTCAACCAAAGTATGTTTGGCGTGAGGAAGAAGTGAGCCTTCACTTGTACAAGTTTGTTAGTACTACCATCACTTGAAGAAACTATTTGGTGGATTCAACTCCAAGTTTGGAAGTAGCTTGGGAGTTTGATTGGTTTGAATTTCTTTTACTTTATTGTTACTCTATTTTTGTGCTTTAAAATTGCTTATATTCTTTGTTATTGTATTTACTTAACTACTTGTCTGGTTAAGTATTTTGGTTGTATTTGGTTGCATCAGGGCTTTCAAGTGCCAAAAGGGTCCCCGCATCGTCCCCTGATAAGGAAAACAAAAGAAAAGAATAAGTTAGAAACTTAGCAAGTAAACAAGGGTAAAAGCATAAATTTCACAATAAGACGAACAATTACGTCACAATGATATCAAATCAAGAGTACAAAAGTAACAATACAAGTTAAGGATACAGGTTGGCTCCAAAGCCAAATCGTGTGCCACGAGTAACTTCCTGTCGATACTCCGTCGACCACAAATAAGGGTCCGTAGAACTCCACTTGTACTCCCATCATACCTCTTATCACCCTCGCTGGCCAGTCAACCATACAAAATGGCTCGAGCAATCAAAACGAAAACAAACTTGGTTCACAAACTTGTGACCTCAAGACTAGGTTGGACTGATTTCGACCAAGCTCCGGTCGGCTCGAATAGTCCGTCTAGATCTTGAGATCGAGCCTCAATTTCATCATAGTTCACAAATTCACAAAAGTCACCCCGAGCTACAAGTTCAAGGGGTTCAGTCCCAACACAGTTCATATAGACATGTCATGTACAAATATATATGTAAATTAGGGTTTAGGTCGAGTGTGATAAAGTACACCCTCGCCTAAGTACCCTCTCATTCACCTCAAAATACATAAGCAACTTATACATAAAAACGGCTTGAATATTTACACATAAAACAAGGATAGCAAAAGTGCGAAAATCGCGTCGCAAATGATAGCTAGTAGACCCCACTAGATCCGTCTAGCTCACCACCGTCTAAAATAGACGATTGCACCACATTATTTCACAAACGACTACTAAGAGGCCTAAATCAAGCAAAACGGTAAAATAGACACACGGCGCGCAGAAACGACAAACGGAAACGGAAACGGAAACAGTCAGCAAAACAGAAACAAATAGACTTGCCGTCCCAAACTGTTTTGACTACAAGTTAGGTTAGGAATGTCGGATTAAAGTGTATGAGACACCGTTTCGAAGCTAAGAGAACGAGTTACAACTTTTATGAAGGCCCTGTAGTCCAGATTGCAACGGAACTAGGGCCAAAATACACAAGATAGTCTCAACCGTTTCAATTCAGGTTACTGAACAGGCCCTATTTGAATGACCATAACTCATGACTCATAGATCAGAATTAAGAAATTCCAGAGGCGTTGGAAAGTCATTTATAAGGCTAGAATTTTTGTGTTTTGACCAAAAGCTGAATCAGTACAAAGCATAGGGAAATATGGGTCCAAAGTTCGTGCTCAGAACTGACTGGCTTCAACGGCAATTCTGACACCTTACATTATTTTGGGTATAACTGGAGTTACACTGATCGAATTGGGATGAAATTTTGCAGGCACAACCAAGACTTAATAAGCTACAACTTTCATGTTTTGAAAAAATCGTGAATCAATATGTAGCATAAAGAAAAATGGAGTCAAAGTTTGGGTTCTGGGCTGCCCTGTTTTCCTGTTTGAACGGTTTCGCGCGTCGCAAACGCATGATCCGTTTCTATGATTCTCATGCAAGTTTTCTAACCAATATCATACCAAATAAACATACATATACTAGCTCCTAATTGCTTCACAAGAGACCCGAAATTCCTTCATCAACCTAACCTCAAAATCTAACAAACACTAACCATATTCTATACTTTTAATCTTACAAGTTCAATTAATCTCCAAGCCTAACCAAGAACACCCTAATCATCTAAGCCCTAGTTCAGCCAAACTAACTCCCCTTTAAGTTAGGGTTTCATGGCCAAATCTGATTTTGCCAAGAATCAACCATACAAGTGAACTTATCACACCAAAGATTCCACTTACAAGTTAACCACCAACCAAATCAACTTAAAGAACCATGAAACAAGAAACCCTAATTTTTCATAGCCTTGACCGAAATTTATGCAGCAATAAACCACTAAAATAAACCATTAAACTACTCAATATTCACCATATAAACCATAAAGTATACAATCACAGCAAGAGAATCACTTTCATGGCTTCAAGATTCATTCACCCAAAAACCAACTTCCAAGTGTGATGATTTATCTTCAAGTAAGCTTTGTAAGTGATTGAACTACAACAATCAAGTACCAAAGTTGTTGCCCTAAGCTCCAAGATCAAGATGAATAGCTAAACTTGAATGAATTTGGAAGAAATTTGTTTCTCCTCTTCAAACTTCAATCTCGGCTCTCTCTCTCTTTTTCTCTTTATTTTTGTTTTGTTTTAAGCCTTATGGTTATCTTACAATTTCCTATGATACATACAAGTCAAAGCTCATAAGAGATATTTTCTACTACAACCAATCATACAAAAGTTTGAATTTTGCTCCTTAGCTCCTACAACATCACTTTCTCATTTTTACACTCTTGCCCATAAATATATGAAAAGCTTTCAATTAACTCTATAGGTTACAAACTTAATCTAGTCCAAAACATGTAATCACACTTAATTGCTTCACTAATCATTCTCCTATCTTAACCACCTATACTTAATCATACCTTATCTCACATAAAAGCAATGAAACAACAACCTTCTTGTCATAGGCAAAATTAGGGTTTTAAACCCAACTTAGAACTTCTAATAGATTATAACACTAGAGGTTTTGCTCGTTTAGGGTTTTCTAACCTTTTTAAACCTACTTACCCTTTGTAAAACAAATCAAATCCTATACTTACCTGTACCAAAACACACATTAGAATACCTAACATGAATTACAACTCAGACTTGTGATTAATACAAAAACTAAAGTTTTAGTCATAACTCAAATTAGGGTTTTCTATATCATTAGTACAAAATAACAGCTAATGCTCTTTAATACCCATAATATCAAAATGAAGGACTAACCGGGGTCTCACAAAAGGTCATTGTTCTACACCCCCATTTACACTTAAAAAAAAAAACTCTTCGACAAATTAAATGCATAAATTATTATTGAATATTTGTGCATAGACTTGAAAAAGCTTTAGTTGATCTCAATTTGTTTGAACAATGTGCCATAATTTGATATTATAAAATAATTAATTGCTATTATTGATGATTTAAGGGTTAATTACATATAATAAGTAGTTTGAGGGTGCATTGCAATTAACCCAATATAGAAGGAAAAAAAGTGCTAATTTCTCAATTCGTAACGAGAAAGGAGAAAAAAAATCTCCCAAAATTTGTCATGTTAATGATTCATTTACTTTTAACCAATTCAAACTTATTCAAAATCGCTCTAATTCTGTTTTTTTTTTTTAAAAACCTTTTGTACAATAACTAGTGGAGAAAAAAAGAAAACTAGACATACTAATTGTGCAATTACAAAAAATAATTTTTTTTGAAAATGAAGATGGGCACGGTGAATTACAGGAAAAGAAAAACAGAAAAGTAAACCAGAATTCGAAAAGTTGAAAATGAAAATAGAAAAATGCCCCAATAAATTACACTAAAGCGTCTGCTTTCTGATACGTTTTATAAAGTCGCTTACGATTCTTCTTCTTCCTTTTTGGCTCTCCTTCAACCAGATCGAACGCGTCCATCATCTCCCTGTCTCCTCAGCTCTTCCGCCGCTGGCCTTCTCCGTCGTCCCCAGCATCCTTCCTCCGCCGCCACTCTCTCATTCCTTGACACGGTTCGTTTCCTTTCATTTTTTATTATTGGTTTTGTATTTTGAGATTTTTGTCTGCTTTAACAACTATCAAGTAGTAGTTTTGAACAATTTTACATCGATGAAGCAGTTTTAGCTCTATATCTATCCACCACCCCACTGAGAGAAGTGCTGATAATATACATGTGGTGTAATGGAGTCTGCCAAAAAGAAATTGTCAGGTGTCCCAATTATGGCCTCAAAATTTAGTGTATTCGTGTGGAACAAAATTGTTTATGACGCACAAGTATAATTTTAGTAGTAGTAATGACATCCAATGTGATAATGATGATGATGAATTCACCAAACATTCAAGCATGAAAAGAAACTAGTAGGACTGATTTTGGATGCCTAATGTGAACCAGGATTCAATAGAAGCATACCCTTTTCTTGGTCAGCTGGCATTTTGGGGGTTTGCTTCAATTGAAACAGTCTTTGATTATTCGTATTTAGAATTTCAGGCCAGATAAAATGGAAATTTGCATGATGATTCTTTTTTATCTATGTTGCCTCCTGTGCTTCAATCTTCATAGAACCACTTTGAGTACAGTTGATCATTGTTAGAAAAGTATGTGTTTTAAATGATCATGGTGTAGCAAAATTAAGAAAGAATTTTTCCAAGAATTTGCCGCACAGTGCCGCTTCAGAACACTGTGATGATATACAATTTTGTAAAATCCTACTACTGCAATTTTCAAACTGCATGCGACATAAATACTTAGTTTGACACCTGCCAACTTCCAATCCTTCCGCATCTTATTTTTTGTTGAGTTGATTTCTATATTTTGTTATTACTGTGTAGCTACTTTTTTGGCCTTTTTATTTACTTTCTGCACTTTGGTGCATGCAAAAGTCCTCTGGGTTCTTCACTTCGTTTGTTTTTTGGTGTTTTGGAAAAAGTTCAAATGGATGGTCCAAAACAAATGCGATGATGGAGTACTTTTTACCTTGGTTATTGAAATTTGAAATTTGAAATTCAAATCTAGTAAATTTGCATAGCATTAATATTTTGGATGTTACATTTGGGTTTTCTTTTGAGAGATGAATGGGAGAAAGAACTTTATTCTCCATCATGTTCTTAATTGCTTTCTGAGGTTAAGAGACTTAGATATTGGTCTTCTTCTAGTTTCTTGAAGACAGGCTGAACATTATACAACCATTACATGTTGCTCTAGGTTTGTCAAATTGCTGACTTGCTGTTTCCAAAACCTGTTACCTTGCAACATGGACTTTTACCCCTTACCATTTGCCTTTCATTAGCTATACCAACTCTCCTTTTCTTGTTTTGGGGGTCTGAATTACTATAAGAACTTTTCCTGTGAGAGATTGTACTACATGAAAATGAAAGAAGCTACTTTTGTATATGTAAACCATGGACTTTGTTTAATGTAAATGCTGCTGGAAATCTTATCTATTAAGGTTACACTGATATAGTATCCTCCAACTAAGAAAATGCTACCCTTAGCCTCTAGAAGATCCAATTACAATATTCCGAGACTATTTCCATTCGCTCAAGTTCTCATTTATGAGAAACATAGAAGTAAAAAAAGTTGCTGGTCACCAGAAATTTTGTGAGATACGTATTTCATTTTGGTTTTGGTTGTTGAATAAATTTAAAACCTGTTTTGTCCCGTGCAGCACCATTATTTGTTTATTTGTTCAGACTGGAAGTTCAGAAACTGCTGCTGTCTTGGAGTATCAGCTAGTAAGTTCCCAAAATCTGATTCTTTACCATAGCATTGACATTGGAGACTCAAAAATTATGCTAACTGCATGAAAACTATGTTATTGAATGTCCTTGTCGTATGCAAATTGGATTAGACTTTTGCAACTGCTATGAAATTCTGTTGTTTTTAAGAATTTGATCCAACGTAATTGGTTGGGATGTTGTTATATAAAATTATATGTCTTTCTCCATCTGCGGTAGAATTGTAAAACCATCGAGTTCGTCTAGGTGCAGGAGAAACTCTGCCAGATATTGTGCATCGTGCATTAGTATTGTTAGTGTCTCAAACTTGATCTGGTAAATGTTTCTAAAGTTGAGTCAGTTTATATTCGGTTGTTGATTTTAGAACACGGTAATTATGCAATTGTGTGGAAAAATGTGCAGTTATGACTTTATGTGTTGTTATATCGGTTAAGGGTGTTTATGTGATCATTTTTATGGTTGCTGGGTTACTATAAACTAGGAAAATGTTTTTCATGATTGATATGTTCATCGCACCTTATGAACAGAGAAATTAGCCCATCTCCTTGAATAGAATAAAGAAAGAAGGCAAGAAAAGAGGAATTTACAAAACAAACAACAGTGAATCTTCACAGAGAGACTAGTGATGATGTTAAGTTTGAAGAAACTAACTTCAGCAGCAGCAGCACCTGCAATTCTTCATCATTCAAGGCGTCTTGTCAGACCAAATTTTATCACTAATGATAAGCTGGTGGGTTCTTTCATCCCTTCAAAAAATCCATCTCAGTGGACCTCCAACCGCTTCCTTGATATCTACCAGGTTAGTCCAAGTTTATCTTCTTATTCCGTATTTGGCTTAGCAGAAATGCACTGAATGACTGAAAGATAAGGGGTTTGATTTGGTTTTAATATGGTGCAAGTCTCTGTAAAATTTTGATATTTTTTATGATTATTGAGAACCTATCTGGTTTCAGCTTGCAAACAAGGCTGCAATTGAGAAGGAACGTGCTAGGATGTAAGTTCAGTGTTTGACATTATGCTCTCTACGCTTGTATGGAAATATTTATATGGAAATGTATATGTGGACTGTTAATCTTTACATAAGTTAAATGTGATTTAGGGCAGTTCAGATGAAATGAGTCGGGGCTATTTTGCTGATTTTGGAGAGATGAAGAAACATGGTGGCAAGGTGAAATGAAGAGCTATTAATTTACAGTGCTTAATCGTAGTAGTTGATTTTAATGTTGGATTTTTTTGTTGTACTTTTACAATGATATGCTTGTAGGCCTTTGAAGTTGATTTTTTGGTTGTGGATATGGGTTGTTTTTATGTAGATTGCAATGGCAAATAAGATTATAATTCCGGCAATGGCAGCTACTAAGTTTCCTGCATTGGAAGTGAACTTTTCTGATGGTTCAAGTCTTAAGCTGCCCATTACATCCAGTGGAAATGGCTCTAGTGCTGACAAATTGGATGTTCCTAAAGCGTCATTGCTCTGTCTTTCGTTCCGCGGAAGCTCACAGGTTTGACACGTCTGATCTGATAGTTGTTATGGGCCTAGATGATTGTTTGTTTCAATTCATTGGCCTACAGTAAATCAAGCACATTTCTGCCTTTCATGTCATCCTGCTTATATTAAAAATGAGGCAGATTGATACATAGAGCATCATAAGAAAGAAAGAGGCTTAATTATATGTGATTTTATTTGGAAGAAATTGGAAATGGGCATGCCTCTTAAATGAGATAATGGCAGAAAGAAGATAACTAACAACTTCTTGCTTTAGGCTTGCCATTAACGTTCAATATTTTCATGGTGTAGCGTGAACATGTTGCTCAAATTACTTCTTGAGTACAGCTGAACTGAAATAACCTTTCTGAACCTCAATGTATGTTCTTCATTTTATTATACCGGCATCCTTCGTGTTAAAGACTCGTGGAGATTTTAATTTACTTCGTATTAGTAAATGCTATCTTTTGTGTTCTACACCCTGAGGGAGGTCCAGTTGCTGTATTGTTTTTATGGAGTGTTTTTATTACATCTTATTTTGAATGCCTTAGTACATTGTGATTTTATATGGACAGTTTTAGCATCAAACAGTCTCGTGTTCATTGAAGAATATCAGGGAATAACTTTATAACATTCTTCATAATATTCTTGTTTTCCCTGTTCCACTGCTGTTTTGTGGTCCTAATTTATTGTTGGGAGCTTAGCGGCTGTAAAGAACTTGATGCTATCACATACTGTGAAACTGTTGTATCAAGAGAATTTACTTCTGTGGTATCATCATGGGTTGCCTTGAAATGTAGTTTTTTAGATTATGAATCTAGAAATAAGCAATTGGATAAGTGGCATTTGTTAGGAATGACTTCAGATTCAGAGCAGACAATAAAGCACAGATGCTATGTGTGGTGAACTGGGGTTGCTTTGTCAGTTTGTTAGTTTGTCTTGTAGGCGTTTGGTGTGGGCTTTTAGCTTGTAAATACATGTTATGATTTTAAGTTTCTAGTAATTCGTACTTATGTTGATTAATGCATTTGTAGATGGTTATTCCTTATTTATAGAACTACACACATTCAAAATTACTTCCCTTGGGTCTTTGATTTGCGTAGTGAATGAATAAAGCTTATTTATGAGGGGAAGAGGAATCGGATTCCTGATTCTTTTTCACAAAAGGAGACTTTAATAATGTTTTGCTTGGATTTTGTTTTGATTGGATATAATGAGCTTAAAGATGTTTAAAAATTGTTCCTAGAACTTCATCCTGAAAAGCTTCCTGCTTTGTAGGCAATGATTAATTCTTGGAGCAAGCCATTCCTTGATGAGTTCTGCAGCTCCAAAGAAACTCAGTTATTTGAGGTATAGCATAATTTTCTTTCAATTGAAGGTTTGCAAATTGCATTTAACTTTTTTTTTTTCCTTTTGTATAGAGAGAGTGGCTCCAATTTTGTTGTTCTTTGGTGCAATAAGAGACTGGATGGGGTTTATCACTCTCACTCTGCTTGGATTTAAAGGAAATGCATAGCTTATAGAAGCCATGACATAATTTGCTATATATGTGTTAATAAATCTTAAACATGTCCAGGTTTCCTTGATAGAGTCGTGGCTACTAAGGCGTAATCCAATAAAGAAGCTGCTTCTGCGAATAATGAAGAAACCTAGCCCTGATGATAAGAAGAATGTACTGCAGAGACAAATCGTATATTCTTTCGGCGACCATTACTATTTTAGAAAAGAGCTCAACATATTGAACCTTCTAACCGGGTAGCACACATTTTCTTTTTGTTCTCCATTCCTCTTATTTTCCATCTGAATTAGTTTGACGAAGTTACTCGTGTATATTTTTTCTTCACAGTTATGTGTTCTTGCTCGACAAGTTTGGTAGAATACGGTGGCAAGGTTTTGGATCTGCAACTCCAGAAGAGGTGTCTTCACTGTTGGCCTGCACTGCACTTTTGCTTGAAGAGGCATGACATTAACAGGAAATAAGATGCCCAATGTCAATATTTACTGGCATGAGGTGAAGAATGGATCCTAACTTACTAGTTTCTCATTGCTTGTGACGACTGCATTTTGGCTAATGAAATTGACAAGGAACTATCAACTCAAGCAGCTATGAAATGCAATGCAATCGAAAGCCTGGAAAGTTTACCTGAAAGACAAGAAGTGACTGTGCAATTGATCTTTTGACAAAGAATCCTAGCATAGATGAAACCGTTCATTACTTTGCTGCAGGTATAAACTGTAAAGCAAATAGACAGGGAGTGGGATAGTAAAATGGGACAGAAATCTGTTGTGGTCGGCGCAGGCAAATCTTTCATTTTGGAAAAGCATTTTACTGTTTGAAGAAAGCTAATGAAACAAAGACATCCATTGTCTATCTAATTGCAAGGTCGTCAATATGACATCCCTGTTCTTTATGCAAAGACAATCATGTGCATTGCCTACACAATAATGAGGCTATCATTGCGAAGATTCTTACAAGTCATCAGGTAGAAACAAAGAAAAAAGTTCAGTAATGCACCTGATGATACCTTTCTAGATAGCTGCAGCTCCGCAAATTTTTGTAGGTTTCTTTCCTATTTTCACATTATCAAACGGGACAAGGGAAAAGGCATAGAACTATGGAAGCAAATGCTATTCTATTTCTTTGGGAATGTTGGAGAAGACAAGTCAGGAGTTTTGCTTTGTCTGATGGTTGAAAGACAAAACGTGTGGCAAATCTCTTCTGTATTTTTATACTTTCCAATTTCATAATTTTCTGGATTGAGGACATTCGGAACGGTCTCCCTTTTTTTGTTTTTTTAAAGGAATGGTCACACTCAATTCACTTAAAAATTACATATGAAGTTACGCTTGTTCTAACTTACAACTCTTGAATCACATCAAAGTCTATTTTGCTTATGTGTATAAATGATTTGAGCTCAAATTTAGAGTCCTAACAAATTTTTAGTTAAAGATAAAGCTCATGTGCATTGTCAAGTAAACTTGACCTTGGCATATACTATCTAAGACATAAAAAAAGATTTAAACATGTGTAAACCTTTCGAACTTCCTAAAAGGTTCTCATCCAGGCAAAATTTTGCACATATATGCCCTTCAACATTGGCAAAATTTTTTTTTAGAAAAAATGAAAATCAATTAAAATTTGCTCTTTTTCTTCTTCTTTTCATGAATTGTGGTCTACTAATTAATGTGGCATAATGCTAGGGGCTGTGTATCCAAATGGTGGTCATGCAAGACATCGAGTTTTCTGGTAGTAATGTTTATATGGAATTTCGCCAGCTTTTTGTAGTAACTACGTCTAGAGTTTACAAGACATTTGCCTTGTGTATTGTTGATGGTAATTAAACAACAAGAAGACAGTCCCAAAACTGCTAAGGAGCCAAAAGACAGTTAACAAACAGTTAAGAATTGTCATCTGGGCAGACCAAAGACAGAAATCAGTAGGACGATTTTTACAATGTTTTTTGAGGTTTATCAAATCTTTAGTTATCTGTTTCAATGCATGAATATGTCTGGAGTGTCCTATGAAAACAAAAATCCGGCCCATCGATTCCTCCAGCATACAAAGACTAGTATATCTTGGTATCCCCATGTAATAGAGACCTCATATATCTTCATCTAATTTCATCCTTTTTTCCCAATAGCAGGTTTGAATTCTGCTGCTCTCTGCGCAGTTTTATATATTCATTTTTTTTCCACGTATCTGTTATTCATTCAAGGTTGCAATTCTTCTGTATTGGGATTCCATCATGCATACTAATATTTGGATACCAAAAGTGCACGTCACTTATCATATGCACATTTTGTATTAGCAGATTTTTTTTCTGTAATGCTGGTAGAAGTACATATAGTCTTAGTCAGTCTTGACAAATTTCTGTTTTCTTGATTAACGATGCATTTGGATTTCAAAGCCGGACAAGCTTTGAAATCTAACGAGTTTGATTTTCTGTGACTTAAATTCCTTTCCAGGATTATCTAGGGCTAAAGATGGCAGAGATTGATACGAAGTCGATTGAGTCTGTCCAAGCTGCAATTTCTTTATTTGGTGGAGAAAATGACCAGAGAAAAAACAGGCCTATCTGTAAGGAAGTAAGTTCGTCTAGGCTCCCTCAGATATTCATGCTCGACGCTCAATTTTATGTTGTATATTTTCCTAATTCTTAGTCACTGATTTGGCAACAGATACGTTGATTATGTCTGGAAAACTTTAACTGCAGATAAGATTTAGTTGTGAAATGAATTCGAAATGACATTCCAATTTATGATCTATCAGTTATATATCTGCAGAAAGTCTGAACTGTGAATGTTCTTGTGGCTGCTAGTCTTTAATTTTCATTATGTTCTTGTATTCTTTTAATTGACAGGAATTGGACAAAGAAAATGAGCTGGAGAACCTGTTGAAAGACTTGGCAAATGTAAAAGTTCAATTGGAAGCAAAGGATTCTGCCTACAAGCAAGCCCTTCTAAAGTTGGATCACTTTCAAAAAACATCTGATGAACTGTCTACCCTCCTAAAGAATTCTGAACTTGAGAAAGATACTTTAACAAATGACTGCAAAGAATCTCGAATCTGCATAGGTGAATTAGAATCAACAGTTAAGGAGATGGCTAATCAGATTGCTGAGTCCGTCAACATACGTGAGCAGCTTTCACATGTTCTGATTGAGTTAAAGGATACTCAAGGACAACTTCTGACATCGGAAATAGAACTTGCAGCAGCAAAGGATGCAAAGTTTGAGTTCTTGACAAAATTAGAAGTAGTGGAAACTGCCTTTAGCTTGGAGAAGTTAAAGACAGATGAACTTTTGAGGCATGTGACAGAGCTTAATGAAACAATTATGCATCTGAAGATGGCGGCAGCTGAAGCAGAGGAGGAAAAGAATGCAGTAATATCAGAAAAAGAAGAAGAAATACAACTGGCAGAAGCTGCAGTAACTCAAATACAGCAACAGCTAGAATCTGTGACACAACAATTTGAACTGACGCATTATTTGGAGAAACAGTTCTTAGACAAGTCTGCATTAGTTGATTCACTGCAAGCGGGACTTCAAAAGGCAAATGCCCTTCACAGTTCTTCTGAGAAAGTTGCGTTCGATGCCCTTTGCGAACTAAACCAGTTGAAAGCAGATTTGGAACTGAAGGAAGAGAAGAATATGGGTCAGGCTGTTTACATCACCTTGCTAGAGAATGAGCTCAAGGAGCTAAAGATGGAACACAGTAAAGCAAATGAGGATATCCTAAGGCTGGTTAGAAATGCTGAAGAGATGAGAAGGGAATTGGAGAAGACAACAGGTGCGATAACTGAGGCTAGTGAAAAGGAGAATGAAGCACAAGTTGAGATAGCAAAGCTGAAAGCTGAGCTCCATAAAGGAAGGTCAAAAATTGCTGCTGCTGTGGCTGCTGAAGAAAGGGCGAAGACTGAAAAGTCTGCTGTCTATGCTGCACTACAACAACTAGCGGTGGAAGCTGAAGAAGCCAAGCAGAAGTATCGACGGTTAAAAGCATCTGGTAAACTTCCCGAAGAAAGTGGAAGCTTTTTTCCATTCATAATCCAGCATGAATATTCGACTCAGTCAAGGGAAGATTCATATTGTGAGTCAAAAGCTGGTAATGAAGAAAGTGACAATATGAAGACAGATGTCCAAGTGACAATTCTTAAGGAGGAATATGGAAGTTTAGTGAAAAAGGCCAAACAGGCAGACACTTTTCTGAAGCCAGGGCTCGAGGATAGCCATCAGTCAGAGAATTTAAAGAAAGAGCTCGAAATTGCAACAGGAAAGATTGCAGAGTTCAGGATGCGGGCTGAACAGGCAATAAGCAGAGCTGATGCTGCAGAGAGAGCTAAATTAGAACTGGAGGAACAGATAAAGAAGTTGAAGGAACGTAAGGCCAGGAGAAAAGCTGCTTTAACAGCATTGCGTGAGGTCTCAGTTTCGAAAGAAATTAAGGAGGTGTCAAGTTCAAAGGAAACTAGTAACACTTTCAGATATTACAATGGTCCAAAAGTTTATCAGCCTCTTGGTAAGGTTCTAAATATGAAATTCTAGTAATAAAAGGGTGCACCCTGAGTCTCAAAGGAAAGAAGTTTCGTCTCATTAACTCTGTGCTGCTACATTGCTTAACCAGTTGTTTTATCATTGCACCTTGGTTGATCAATGTTAAAAAGAATGTTGTTTGCATGGAAATATTTAGTCAGGAATTTTTGGTAAAAACTTCATCTACTAATTGTACATGTAATTGATGATTGATTTCTTGCTTAAGATTACAAAATCAATCGAAAGCCTTTACTTTGGCACTTCCATACTCTTTAGTGATAGTGAATAATTGTTCATCATTCTATCATCTGTTCCTAGTTTGCAACCTTTGTCTTTGGTAAGCCAAAGATCAACATTAAAGATCAAATAGGTACAGCTGTGGGAAATAATCTCCCAGTTCTGGGGGAACATTTTCAAACAAAACATAAGAAGAACTCAGGCTTGGATCTCAGCAAAAGCACCTGCACACAATTGACCTTTCCTAGGAGGTTTATGGAGCCTGATGTCTGGATTTTCCACATAATCTATCAACATTCCAAGATAATAGAAACAAATTAATTAACGGGAATCTAAATATCCTCAGCACTAATCTACACAAGAAGGTAACTAAAGTTAATAGAAGTGCCAATAATAAGTCCATCAAGTAAGCCCCAAGGTTCTATTGCAACACCGGTTGAATATCCCAGTTTTTCATCCAAACCCTTGATCCATATAGTTTTGACATAAGATTGAGATACATGTTTGTGAGGCCAGCTGCCACAAGCCTTCAGCCTATCGAATAACTGCCACTTACATAATATCAAGTAGTAGATTCAACCAAGAAAAGGCTAAGGAATAGAATTGAAAAATGGTTATTGTTTAACACATCTGATTGTAAATGCAACTAAGCTTAGCACAAGGACCAGACAATGTGGGAATGATACAAAGGAATCTATGAGAAAAGTATGCTTTGGAGTCGGTTATTCTGGAGAATATGTTGAAGAATTATACCTTTCACTCAAATTATTGGTATACTAGTCATACAACACTAACTCAAGCCATTTGCAGAAGATGCATTGCCCTTCTAGTTATTTGGCAAGCAATTCCCCTTCTAATAGGGTAAAAAGAAACTGTTCCAGGAAAGGAAGTTTCTTTTTCCAGTAAGGTATGCTGGTCAAAAAAAAAAAAGGCATGCTGGTCAAATCTGCTGTTATTCCCAAAGTACTCAATGGTACAACTTGCATGTTCATGCATATTCTCAAATCCATCACATACTTAAATATTTGGATTCAAAGGTAAAAGTTCTGAGGTTTGCAATCCCTAGTCACTATGCATCTTTTTACATCACATCCAGCACCTTGGCTAGTTATCAAATGATTTCACAAAGAATCAAAAACATTAAAATCAGCTCATGATCAGTAGTACTCTTTAATTTCACGTTGAGAAAAATGTTAGAAAGCCACTCTAAAAAGTTGCTTTCATTAGTGCTGCTTTGGTATTTATTGAAAATTTAACGATCCTAAACATTTCAATCAGAGACAGAATCCAGCTTGAATAAATCTTTCCTAGTGTATGTATACACAGTGCCATTGATGGCTTCAAATGACATATAAACCAATTGAAAAACATTTCAATCATCTTCATTATTTGGAGCTAGTACACAAAATTTATCAAATTTAAAGCCTTAGGAATACCTTTAAAAATGGCTCCATACCAATGCTGACACAAACCTTTTATTTGTATACTATTGGCACGTAGTGCCTGCACCTCAGAAATAGAACTCTTTCTGGCTGCATTTAGCATTGATGGAAAATGATGGTTTTTCCCATTGATTTAATAATAATCACCCTAATTTCATCTGGTGAAATGGAAAATTTCATGATTGTTTATTTGCATCTACTTGTCACATTCCGTGCAACCTCAAAAAAGTAGCTTATCTATTCTTCAGTTAATTGTCTTTTCTGTTTTTCTATACGGCAAATAATTTTATAAAACATGTTTTCATCTTCATTAAGTCTCTGTGCTGTTATAAGGTACCACAAAAATTTAACAAAAATCTGAGTAATCCGAATTTGCAACACTTAAGTAGAATATAGAGTTAGTTCGATTTGTGTATTGAAAAAAAATAAATACAATCTAGGTATAAAAGCAGGCGAGAATGTAATAAAAGAAATTTGATTTTTTGAAAATTACAATCTAAAATTAGGTAAAATAACCAAAAAAAAGCATTTATTTAGTTACCAGAAACAACTGTATAGGATTTAAGCTTAATGATTGTGCCCTTCTTTCCTCAAAAAGACTGAAGGAGAAAAGGGAAAAAAGAGCTTCGCTTCCACATCGAGTTAATATAAAAAAAAAAAAACAAGTGAAATGCTTCGCGTCTCAAATGTAGGAGGACTTTGTCTACAACCTGCAATGTTCATAAAGAAAATGCATCAATCTTGATGTAGTCTATGTGAACTCTCTTTTGTATTGAACAAAATTAATCAAAGACAATAATTTTATAGGAAATAAATTTCAAATTTCCACTGCATATACATATTTGGAAATTGTTTCCTTACCGTGATATTAGATTCAACTTTGATTAATCAATGTGATAAATTTACATTTTATCACGAATGATATACTATGTGTTGGGCTTGTGGTCTAGTCCATTTGGTGGTCCAAACCACAAATATAAGCCCATTAGATTGAATTCAAAATTTGACTTGGAAAAGTTGACTAGTACTTTTTTTTCTTCAAAAACAAAGATATAAGTTTCAGTTGTGAGATTCATCAACCGAAGAAGAAAAAAAATTCAGCCACTGCTTTTCTTTTCTTGGTGAGGAACAAAGAGAGAGAAATTGGGGAGAGAAACTAGAGAGAGAAACAACTTCAAGATCTTGATTGGAGGGTGATTCGAAACTTAATTGAGACGAAATTTTACCCACGTGACTCTCTCGTCAAATTCTACCCATCTACTGGTTCAAATTTTGGATTTCCTTTTCGTTTGGTAACACCCTTCCAAATCCACTTTTTTGATGGTTATAATTTTTGGGGGTGATTTTGTAACAATTTCGCTTGGTTGATACTGGTAATATTGTTGTTATCCGAATATTTCGGGTAGATCTGTGTATTTTCATTATTATGATAGTGGAGTTTTTGATTGGACTAGATCCCGTGATTTTTTTTAATTTGGATTTTTCACGTTAAAAATCTTGGTATCCTTTACCTTTTATTTTTCTGCATTTTATTATTATTGTTGACATCGTTTTTTGGTGATTTGATTTATTCCTATTTTAACTGGTAGTTGAGAAAAGAGTAATTTGTTCTAGATTAACTCTGATATTGTGTGCTTGCACCGATACCATTTTTCCAACAGTGGCATTAGAATAGCGTGGCTGCTCATTTGTACTAGTTAAAATGGATGATTCTAATAGTAGTTGTATGATAAAATTGAACGTAACTAATTATTCAATTTGAAAGTCTAAAATGGAAAACTACCTGTATTGTAGAGATTTGTTTGAGTCTATTCTAGGAGATAAGGGTTGGCTAAATGATAAAGTGATGAAAAGTGGGCTGTTATGCACAGAAAAACTATTGGTAATATTAGAATGTGGATTGGTTAGAATATTTTTCAACGCTTTGCTAATGAAACTAGAGTTGATATACTATGAAAAAAGTTAGAATGTATGTACGAAAAAAAAATCGATTTAAATAAAGCCTCTTGTCTGAAACAAATTACTCGGATGAGATACAAATATGGTGCAAATATGACTAAACATTTCAGTAATTTTCAGGGCTTGATAAACCAAACAGCTACATTGAATTTGAACTTGGATGATGAAGTGCAAACTTTGCTATTGCTCAGTTCACTATCGGATAGTTGGGAGACAATGGTGGTTTCTATCAGCAATTCAACTTCGAATGGTGTGCTGACCATGGATATAGCAAAAGAGGCTATGATGAATGAAGAACTCAAGAGGAAGGAACAAGAAATTATGAATTGATTCCAAGCCCTAGTGATGGAAAAGAAAGAATGAAGGGAGAGAAGCAAAAGTAGAAGACCCTACAACAAGAATGACAGATCCAGATACAGATCTGAGTCACAAAAAAATGATACATGCTTTTATTGTAAAAAGAATGGGCATTATATGAAGGACTGTAGAATCTTACAATGGGAACAAGTTAAAAAAAAAAAAAAGAGAGCAAAGGCAAGGTGAAAGAAAAAAATAATGAAGAGACTACAGCAGTCATGGTAGCTCATGATGATATGTTTGTGTTATGTGATGATGGTCATATGAATATTACCTTCATGATGGTGAATGGGTAGTTGATTCGGATACATTCTACCATATTGCTCCTCATAGGTATTTTTTCTCAACTTACACTGAAGGAGACTTTGACTATGTTACATTGAGGAATGAGGTTTCGGACAAAATTATTAGTATGGGAGACATATATTTGAACACAAATATCGGGTGCTAGTTAGTCTTGAAAAATGTTGGATATGTTTCTGATATTGGCCTTAATCTTGTTTCTATAGAAAAATTTGATGATGAGGGTTACCATAATTCGTAAGGTGGATGCAAATGAAAACTTAGCAACCAAAATCTCGTTGTTACCAAAAGAAAAAAACAAAGTACCCTTTACTTGATCCAAGCCAAGTTGGGGAAAGGAGAAGTGAATGCAATTCGTAATTCGACTTGGGTACATGAGTGAAAAGAGAATTCAGACACTTATTCTCAAGCAGTTTCTACCTGAATCAGAAGTAATGCACTTAAACTTTGTGTTGACTATATTTATGGAAAACAACACAAAATTGCATTTCAAAATTTTTCTCTATCTAGAAAATTGAATCCATAAGAATTGGTGCACACTAATGTTTGCTATATGAAAGATAGGTCTCTTAATGGTGCTGTTTATTTTGTAACTTTTATTGATGACTTTACTAGAAAAGTTTGGTATTTTGCTTTGAAATTCAAAGATTAGGTTTTGGATGTGTTCAAAGATTTTTATAACAAAATTGAGAGAGAGACTGGCAAGCAGTTAAAGTGTGTTCGTGTTGACAATAGTGGTGAGTACAGGAGACCGTTTGAAAACTATTGCAAGTCCTATGTGATCAGACTAAAAAAGACAGTACCAAAAATTCCTCAAGAGAATGGAATAGCAAAGAGGATGAACAGATCTATCACTGAGCGGGTCAAATGCATGCTCTCTAATACTAAATTATCAAAATCATTTGGAGTGAAACAATGAGGACTGCAGTTGATTTGATTAATTTTTTTTCGTCAGTTTCTTTGGATGGTGATATCCTAAAAAGAGTAAGGACGGGGAAAGATATGTCCTTTAAACATTTGAGAGTTTTTGATTGTCAGACATTTTTTCATATTCCCACAGATGAAAGGTCAAAATTTGATGTGAAATCAAAATTTTCTTAGGTTATGAGCATGAAAATTTTGGTTTTAAACTGTATGATCTTATTGAAAAGAAAGTGATCAGAATCAGAGATGTTGTCTTTCTTGAAAATCAAACCATTGAAGATATTAATAAAGATGACAAGTCAAGATCCTCGAATGACATTCCTACTAGTTTAGATCCAAATCCAGTTTCAGTACTAGTACCAGTTGATTTTGATCATGGGAGAGTTGAGATAGAGCAGAGAGAGGATATTGATGGTAATGATACTGCTACTGATGAACTTGAGCAATAGACACCACCAACTTCACCACCTCCACCACCTCCACCACAAGATGAGTCTAGGAGATTTAACAAAGAAATGAGACCTTCTAGCAGATATAATCTTAATGAGCATGTGTTGCTGACAGATGTAAAAAAATGGGTCTATAGGTTGAAGACTCAAGAGCATAGTGCATAGTCAAAATATACGGTAAGATTGATTATGAAGGGATTCAGTCAGAAGAGAGGTGTAGATTTTGAGAAAATTTTCTCTTTTATGATAAAGATGTCATCAATCCGAGTTGTTCTTGGAATTGCAGTTAACTTGAATTTAGAGATTGAACAACTTGATGTAAAAACAGTTTTCCTACATGGTGATTTGGAAGAAAAAATTTATATGGACCAATTGAAGGGGTTCAAAAAAGTGACAAAGAGAATCTTGTATGCTGTCTAAGAAAGAATTTGTATGGATTGAAACAGGTGTTAAGACAGTGGTACAAGAAATTTGACTCCTTTATGACGAATCACGAGTACCATAGGACTACATCTGATCATTGTATCTATGTAAAGAATTTTTTTGATGGTGATTTTATTATTCTCTTGCTATATGTTGATGACATGCTGACTGTTAGCCGTGATGCTATGAAAATTGACAAGTTGAAAAATGAGCTAAGTAAATCTTTTGCAATGAAAGATTTGGGTCCGACTAAACGATTCTTGGAATGAAAATCTCTCGAGATAAGCATAGTGAAAAATTTTGGTTGTCATAGAAAAAGTACATTGAGAAGGTGTTTGACAAGTTTAACATGAATAAAACTAAGGAAGTCTCTATTCTACTTGCAGGTCACTGCAAGTTAAGTATTAAGCAATGTCCTACAAGTGAGAAAAATAAAGAAAACGTGAAAAAGATTCCTTATGCATCAACTGTTGGTAGTTTGATGTATGCTATGGTTTGCACTAAACCAGATATAGCTAATGCAGTTGGGGTAGTCAGTCGATATCTTTCCAATCTTGGTAAGGAGCATTGGAATGCTGTCAAATGGATCCTTAGATATCTCAAGAAAACTTCCAAATTGTGTTTGTACTTCGACAATGATAGGACCATGCTAGATGAGTACACCGGTGCAGATATGGCAGGTGATCTCGACAATGGGAAGTCCACATCTAGATACTTGATGATTTTTGCAAGGGGAGTAGTATTATGGCAAAATAAGTTACAGAAATGTATCGCCCTTTTCAGTATGGAGGTAGAGTACATTGCAACCACTGAAGCATGCAAGGAGACTCTTTGGTTACAGAAATTCCATCAGGAGTTAGGTATGAAACAAGAAAAGTATAGTTTTCATTGTAAGAGTTAGAATGCCATTCATTTGTGTAAGAATTCTGCAGTTCACTCTCGGTCCACACACATTGATGTGGATATCACTGGATCGAGATGTATTAGGTTTCAAGTTATTGATACTTGAGAAAGTTCACACTAATGACAATGGTGCTGATATGCTGACTAATGCATTGTTTAGGGAAAAACTCTTATTTTATAGACAAGCAGGTTTGGTGGAGCCTCTCAAATGAGTTGGAGGGGGAGATTGTTGGGCTTGTGGTCCAAGCCATTTGGTGGGCCAAACCACAAAACAAAAGCCCATTAGGTTGAATTCAAAATTTAACTTCGAAAACTTGACTAATACTTTTCTTTCTTGGAAAACAAATATATAAGCTTCAACTACGAGATTCATCGGAGCGATTGATCACTACAAATGAAGCTCTTATGTTGACTTGTCTTTGTATCAATTTGCTAATGAAATTTACTATATTTATATATATAAAGTTATTAAAAAATAATCAACTTATAAGAAGCAAAACTGTAATTTTGCAATAATTTCATAAATCTCCTTTGAGATTTGTCACGATTGCATCCTTGAGGTTTGAAAAATTATAGAAACCTCCCCTAGAAAGTATATTTTGGTAAGGTGGTGATGTAAGTACAAAAAGTCTAACAAATATCCTATATTGTCCCTATTTGATTTACAAAATAAATTAAAAGAAAAAGACATCTTTTTAAAGTAGTTCTTTGCAGCAAAATTTAGGCTATATTTTAAGGCATCATTTTTTAGTATTTGGACTTCTTTTTTTTCCCTTTGGTAAGTAAGTTGTGAAGAAACTGTTTTTAACAAATGCATCCCTACTAATCGGCTATTTATAAAATTAAGTAAGAAATCCATTTAAATGACCTAGTAATTGAATATAATGTATTAGGTGAGATAAGGTTAGAGTTTTTGGATAAAGAAATATTTTCATAATGCGGTTTACTTTTTCCTTTACCTCACTTTTTATTTAGAATTTGTAGTGTTGTGAAGGCTATTATAATATTTTCGTGACACCAAGGGAGGTAGGTAGAATTTTTCAAACCTCAAGAGAGGTGGCAGCAATTATCAAAGATCTCAGGGAAGGTTTATGAAATTATCCCTTTAATTTTCACTGCTGACGCATGTTTCTTGCTGCGTTGAAGCCTGATGAGAGATCTATAAGATTTCCTCATCGGGTATCTGCATTCCAAGATAACAGAAGCAAATTAGTAAGATAGTCTATTCGGAGAATTAGCAATAACAAGTCCATTTCCTAATCCCCAAGCATCCACTGCAACATTGGATGGATATCCACATTATCATCGAAAACCCCTCATCCACTTCAGTTTGACATAGAGTGAGAAACATATTCTGAAACCCAAAGCCTTGAGCCCATCTAGACAGCCGCCAGTGTCACAATATTTAAGTAGTATTTTTGAAAATGCAATTAAGCTTACCAGAACAACCAGACAATGTGGCAATGATACAAAGGAATCTATGAGAAGTTATGCTTTTTAGTTGGTTATTTTGTAGATTTTTGCAAGGATTATAGCTTTGCTTGGATTATCTGTGAATTAAAATGGTCTTTTCACAATCAATTGAGGTGACTGTTCAAAAAACCAGCGGTCCTATGCTTTTGTCATTATTGGCATACTAGTTATGCAACACTAGCTTGGGAGACAATTCTAAGATTATGATGGAAAATAGAAAAGAACATTCCACAAAAGGGGTTACTTTGGTGTGCTGTTTCGACATGGAGGCGTTCGCATTCTACAAATGCGACATATGCTAAGTTCGGATTCTAAGTGTGCGAGTTTAAAATTTTATGTTCTTTAAAATTCATTCACACAAATCCATAGTTATTAAACCCGGTCCGGGGAGGAATCCGGTGAAAGAGATGGGTCAAGGGGTTACTAGTTCAACTAGTGAGTGAGTGGTCCAACTGATGGGTCACTACATATATTTAAATATTACGTCTTATAATTTTTTATATGGTTAAAATTATAGTAAATTATGCCTTAGTAAATGTTTAATTAGTCTAATTTATTATCGAATCATTAATTCTTATAAGAATCAACAAAACTTAAATTTGCCTTAAGGAAATTTCATTGTTTTTAACAAGCTTTGGTTTTAACTTATGGAAATAAACTAGATAATGTTATTTTATTAAAATTTACCTTATGGAATTTGGGAAATAATAAAATTTTATTAAAAGATTCCAAATAAATTTTGTTTTGAAGAATTAAAATAAGAACAAAATTCTAATACATAAGATAAGTAGGGCCAAACAACTAACAAATGGATTGTTGGTCCAGTGGTGATTGCACTACATTCCTATACTTGAGGTCCCAAGTTTGAACCATCAATGCAACATCCTCTAAAAAATTTTCACATAACAACCCGGGTTTCTCACAAAACCGGCCGATTCGTTGAAAAGTCAACGGTTTTGCTGTTCAAACGATGTAATTAGCAACCCGGCCTGGTCTATGGCCGATTCATCGAGTTGATCGATTGAACCATCGGGTTGGGCCAGGTTTAATAACTATGGACAAATCGACAATTTAGAGTTTATATTTATCACATCATTTATAACGCTCATCCTTCGTAAAACTCTTTTTCCTTTCTCTTGTTGTCAAAGAGTAAATCATGATGATTTCCTTTTCTATTTTTATCTCTTCTTTCTCAATAATTCTATACAACGAAGATGTAAAAACAAAAACAAGCAACCGTAATGTTTTCACAAAAATAAAATAACAAAAAAATGGAAGGCAAGAGCTCACATTCACATTTTTTTATTTTTAAAGAATTGTACATGAGTTGGTTTCTAACAAAATGAAGTTTGTTTTTAAGTGCACTATGGGCTCTACGTATAGGACCTCTAGGTGGACTTGTTTCTTTTTTCCTCTCAGAATTTGACATCTCGCACTTCATAAATGCGATCTCTCCGGAGCTCGCACTTCATAAATGCGAAGACCACCTAGACGCAAATCTACACTAAAACTAACCCGTTTGCAGAACACTTCTAAAATCCATAATAATGATGGAAATTTCTCCTCAAGCCATTTGCAGAATATGCATGGCCATCTTAGGCATTTGACAAACAATTCCCCTTCTAGTAGGGTCAAAAGAAGCTGTTCCGAAAACGGAAATATTTTTCCAGTAAGGTATGCCGGACAAGTCTGCTGTTATCCCAAAAGTCAGTGATCACAACTTGCATGTTCATGCATATTCTCAAAGCCATCACATAATTACTTATTTGGATTCAAAGGCAATATTTCTGAGGTCAGCAATGATATCCGTAGTCACTAATACTATGCATCTTTTTGCATCACATCCAGCACTTGGCTTATTAACAAATGATTTCAAAAGAATCAAACAATAAAAACAGCCCAATATCAATAGTGTTCTTTACCTTTCTAGGGATTTCAATTTTTTTTCTTATGTCTTCTATGTGTAGTTGAGGATGGAATGAGAGCACCAAGCAAATTAATTATGCTTTTATGTTGAGAAAAATGTTAAAAAGCCACTTTATAAAGTTGCTTTCATTAGTGCTGCATCAGTACATATTAAAAATTTAGCGATCCTAAACAATTCAATCAGACAAAGGGAGGCCAGTCCAAATAAATCTTTCTTAATATATAATAACTTTTGTGGCTTCAAATGACACAAAAAGCCAATTGGAGAGGCATCT